CCACTGCACTCCAGTCTGGGCGACAGAGTGAGACTCCAACTCAAAAAAAAAAAAACCAGTAATGTAAAGTACACAAAAGCACAGCCACTTGTAGAGGATGCACACATGTGACAATGTACACCAGACACATGAACTAACTAATATGACTGGACATGCAAACACACATTCACATCCTTGAAAGTTCGCAACTTGAAGGTTCGTATGTAAGGGACTTAGTGTACTTCTGATTGACCTCATCAATACTGTGGTTCCCATAACACCCTCCTCAGTTCAGTTAACTTGCTAGGATGGCTCTTCCTTCTGGATGTTCATCTGTATCCTTTGTAATATTCTGTATAACAAATGGGTAGTCCGAGTAAAGTGTTTTTCTGAGTTCTGTGAGCCACTGTGGCACATTAATAAAACCTGAGGAGAGTCAAGAAAATCCCCATTTTATAGCTGGTCAGTCAGAAGATCTGCTCCCAACCTGGAACTTACAACTGCATCTGAAGTGGGGTCAGCCTTTTGGAACAATGCTAAATTCAGGAAGACAGTGTCAGAACTAAGTTAAATGATAGGACACCCAGTAAGGTGTGTGATGAAGAATAGGTTGTTAGTGGAAGAAATCCCACACATTTTGGTGAACAGAAGTGAAGTATCCTGTGTTCACTGTGGTATTAAGCATGACAGGAGAAAAACACTTTGGTTTTTCCCTTTAGCTTATATACTTGCCCTCACCCTATCCCATCCCATGAAAAGGGAAAAGGGTGACTCACAATTGAGTGAGTCAAGTCACTGCTCTCTGGATAAACAGAGACTATAAGTGAAAGTTAGCCTCTCATGCCAAGAATTATAAGACGTACAAGTCATAAACACAGACTTCTGCAATAATCAACTCCATCTGCATAACTTAAGCCAACATATTTAAAAATTTGTTGTACGGGGAGAGAGGAGGGATAAGGGCACACAACCACCCCCTGGGTACCATGCCCACAACCAGGGGAAAGGAGAGCTCTCTAGAAGCTCAAATCTTACCTTCATACAATTTACTTATGTAGCAAATCCTCACATGTACCCCACAACTCTAAAATAAAATAAAAATAATGAAAGCTAAGTAAAATAAAATAAAATTTGTTGGATTATGAGAATTCAACATGTCACACAGCTTGTCACATCCAATCAACTTAACACTCAACTGGACCAGGGTCCTTCTTTCTTCATTACTATATTTCCCTACCTTATCCCGGACATTTGTCTCATTCTCACCTTCTCTCGCTAGCTCTGGGTTTTTTTTTTTAAATTGAGGCAGGGTCTTGCTGTGTTGCCCAGGCTGGTCTTGAACTCCTGGACTCAAGCGTTCCTCCTGCCTTGACCTCCCAGAGTGCTGGGATTACAGGCATGAGCCCCTGGGTCCGATCTGTTTAAAGTTTTTTATTTTTACTTTTGCTCATTTTCTCTCATGTGCTTCCCCGTGGACTTCTGCCCCTCATTCTGTGTCCCTCTTCTGTTTTTTCTCTCCTCCTTCCTTCTATTCCTTCTCTTCTATCTGTTCTGTCCCATTCTTACAATTTGTTTCATCTCTTGTTCCTCTTTCTCCCTAGTCATGATTATCCCTAATCTCCTTATTTCTAGCTCTTTCTTCTCCCTTCTCTGCTCTCCCTATAATTTCCCTTCCCTGTCACATCCCCTTGTCCCCACTCTCTGGCACCCCCAGATCCCTAGGCTTCCTCCCTGCTGTGCTTCTCCCTCTACTCTCCTTGTCACCAGTTGTCCTCTCTCATCCCCGCACCATGTTGCTGTCTGCTGTGGCTCCAATCGTTCCTCCTCTCCCCCACTCTCTGAGGTACCTCCTCTTTGCTGTCCCCTCCTCATTTTGCTTAACTTCATCTCTCTGGAGATCGAGCTTTTCTCTAAATTTTTCTAGTTGCTGCTTCTTTCACTCTGTCTCTTTGCAAATCCCTCAGCCATCTTCTAATTCTCCATCTTTTTTTTTTTTAGTCTCACTCCGTTGCGGCTGCTCCCGGTCACCGCAGCCTCGACCTGCTGGGCTCCAGCGATCCTTCCGCCTCAGTCTTTCAAGTAGCTGGAACTACAG